GAAATAAATACGAGAAAAATTGTATTTTGTTTAAAGTTTTATACATTTTGTTTTTTTATTTTATGTAAAAGATAAATTCAGGAAATTTTATTTTGCGTAAAATTTTATGTAATTTTAAGTTTATACGTAGAGTAAATACAATAAGATCCATAAGTTCAGAATTCAAAGAGATTCTTCAAGATTTATTTCACGAAAAAAAAAACAAATGCAAGAAAATTTGTTTATTAAATATATAAAATGCAATAAATTTCAGACAGCAGCGAGAAAAATTTTATACATGATATAATATTCCACTGTGAAGAACCTAATATAGTATTGTCAGTAACAAGAAGCTTCGAGAATATATCATTATCCAAATAATAAATATGGTTATAAAACACGTGATGCCAAAGTATGTTTATATAGTTTTAAAATATTATTGCTTTATTTAAGTAAATATATTCTTATAATTTTTGGTTTCCAAAAAATTGAATTTTCAGCTTTCATTTATAAAAAAAAAGTAAATACCAACAACGCATTAAGCAATAAAAAATTACATGAAATATCAATAAATTCTATATATTAATACAGTATAAATAAAACACTAAAATCTATATATATATATATATATTTAAAAAATTCTAAACATTACAATAACTCTACAGCAGATTACTGTATATCACAAAGTCTTCAAAATATTTGTTTACAGCTTATTCAAATGCATTTATTAAGAGAAAAGTTTAACTCTGATTTTTAATATATTTACAGCCCTAAAAACGTAAGTGATTCGGGCCTTGTTCTACAGAATAATACATTAAGTTGTTATTATATCATCAATACAATCAGTTAATATTTTTTCCACGAGGAATTACAAACGAATTCAAGATTTATTTAAGAATCAAGAAAAATTGTTACGCGGTATGAAGTATACATTCGAGAATACTCGATAATTTTTCTACAAATAAAAAAAAGAACTACCTTACCACGATGACAAGTAAGAGATAGTTTATTAATTCATGTATCCAACACTGATCGTCCATCACTCATATAATCAATCATAACTGAAACATTGAAAAGATATTCGGATTTTTATATGAAATATGTAGCATATTACACGTCCCTGTCAAGTAGTTGGCATTTTTCTAAAATATGATTTCATATCTCTATTCACATAATAATAAAGAAAAAAATTTCTAAGATAAATACAATATATTCTATGTACACAAGATACAAAATTTACTGTAGATATTNTAGTCTAATTCTTTAGACAAACAGTTTCGTGTCTAGTTTCTTATAAAGTATTTAGATTGTCATTTGTTTCTCGTTAATAATTTCAAAAGACATGTAATTTTGTTTCACGCCATCGCGCTCAATTCCATAATAATTAAAATTTTACTTTTATAGGGTCCATTTCATATCTTTATTTTCACATTAGTTACTTTATATCGTTAGTTTTGTATTAATTACTTTCGTTCTAACAATTACCCACCTTTATTTTCATGCCATATTGTGTAATTTTAAAAATTTTGTAAATTATACGAGTTTAACTTACACTATTTTGTAAATAGAAAATATTTTTTATATTTATTTTTATAGTAAAACTCTTCATTTATATAATAATAACACTCAATAAAATTGATAATAATTTTATTAAGTTACAAAAGTACAAAGACCCCAAATGAAAGAAATTAAATGGAATTATTCATGACAGAAAATTACATTAAATTATATACAATATAATTGAATGTAATTACTAAAATATGAATATATAGAATTAAAGAGGAAAGAAAGAAAGAAAAATATATATATATATATATTCTCTAATGACTTTAAAATTGATCGTATCTTCGATGATAAACATTTCATAATTGTTCTATTCAAAATTTTTAACTCGATAAAAATATAAATTTTATTTATTTCTTTTATTTTTTTAATTCTATATAATTATATAAAATGTTAATTTATATAAAATAAAACTTTAAAATTATAATTATTATATTTACAGTATATATAAAAATATTTTTCTATCTGTAGCAATATTGTTATGTTCTTTTATGTAATTTTTAGTTATATATATAGAATAGAATGGTCGTTATTTGAAGGTTTACGTTATTGAGAGTGGCCGTTGTTTGGAGGTTATTTTGTATGCATGAGAGATGGCCGTAATTGGAGATTCGACTGTATTTTACTTTCTAATGTAGTTATTGAAATTGTTTAAAGAAGCATTTAATAATTTTCTTACATATATTTTTGGTTAAGTCATTTTAAAAAAGAAGAGGTCGTTTAAAAAATGATATATTGTCTTTCATGATTGGTTGGAGACAGAATTACGTACACTAATGAACGTGGCTATCAAAAATATGATTTGTCGAAGAGAGTTTCGATGAATTATTACGTCTTCCTTATTCCACTAATCGTAATAATTGTAAATTTCTTATTTTTAACCAATCAGCAAAAACGACAGTAATAGTTTTTAAGGAAACTTCTTATATAATGTCGTTATTTTTTTTAAAATTAAGTTAAAACTAATGTTTAAAAATTTATAGTGTTTTAATGGATGTACTTTTTATTGTTGATTTTTTTTAAAGAAAATAAAACTCGTTAAATACAAATTAAACGTGTTTCATGACTGTAATTAATAATTAATTTTAATGCTATACAAACAAGAAAATTATAGGAAAAAAATTTTTTTATTTCTTTCATATATTTTTTACACGTTCAAATTACTATATTCAATTATATGATATAAAAATTTTTATTATTTTTAATAAGAAAAAAAAATTAAATTTATAATTTTTTTCTTCAATTATCATTTCAGTTTGCAGGTGTACTGATGGGTATATCAAATTGTTTTGCTACAATACCAGGAATAGTAAGCCCAACAATAACAGGACAGATAACAACTCAAAAAGTAAAATAATTTCTATAATAATTTTTAATTAATAAAAATAAGTTTTTATGAAATGAAAATCCATAGAAAAATACACAATAAAATCTAATTTTTAGACACAAGAAGAATGGAAGACGGTGTTTTTTATAGCAGCTGGGATCTATTTTGTTGGAGCTATCTTTTATGGTCTATTTGCTTCAGGAGAGAAGCAAAATTGGGCTTCTATACCAAGTGCTTACTCACCTGTCAAAGAATCTAAATCTTCAGAAGATATACCTTTCAAAAAATAAACAAATTCTCATCTATATTTCTCTCTCTACATATTTATTTTACTTAAAGATATAAACATATCAAAAATTAAATTAAATATATACCTCTTAATTTAAGAAAATATATATATATATATTTCTTACAAGAAAATTTTGATAAAATGCTTAAATTGTATGCAAGATTTATATATTAATAGAGAGATGGTTTTAAAAATAAAAGGGATAATGCAAGATAAATAATTCTATTTTGGAAAACAATTTTTAAATTCATATATAGGGAAATTTTGATAAAATTCTTAAAGATTAAATTGTTTAGAAAGTCTATAACAATAAGGGGATGCTTTAAGAGATAAAGAGGGAAGGGGGAAAGTATTGGATAAATATTTCTATTTTAGAAAACAATTTATGTAAAAACAATTTTTAAAAATAACATTTGCAATGTAAACAATTTAAATAAAGTATATTTTTCATATTTTTTAAAATCAACTTTGACAGTATTCAACTTGATTTGATATCGATGTATATATATGGCACTCGTTTTTTATTCTTTATTATAACACTCTGTGGAATATATATATATATATTTTTTTTTATTTTATTTTTTATATACTTCTATTGTATTCTGAATGATGTCAAGAATCGATTTTGACCAAACAAAATTTTATTTATATAAAATTCAATTTTATTTATTTATTTTATTTTATTTTTTCTTTTCTATTGAAAATATTTGCTTCGTGATTACATATATATATAT